GCTTCAAAAACACTAGTCTCGTCGATAGGAAGGCCATGCGTACCACGATCTAGAACAACATAGGTCGATCGTGGATAGAGCTCCAGCAAGCGAAGGCTGTCTCGATAGCCAACGCTCTCATCTTGCCGACCACATATAACAAGCGTGGGTGCAAAGAACTTGGCGCCTTCATTGTCCAACGAAAAAGATAACTGATATCGATGTGGATCTGCTCGGATCGGATCTAACACCTGACTGTCTGCTTTCTTCTCCGCTGGGAGGATAACCTCCTCGTATTTTGCCTTCAAAGCTTTAACGTACGCAGGCGTTTGAACGAGAACGTCTCCAAGAAGTGCCTTGTCTTCGGCCGGCATGTTCGACATGAGTTGCTCATTTGCAACCAAAGGTTTGAAAGCATCGAGATCGCGCATGCTGTCCTTTGGCTCAATAAGCGGTACGCGTAAGAGTAGACCATCGACTTGCTCAATATATTTCTGAGCTATTGCACGTGCAAGGTAGCCGCCACATGACGAGCCGACAAGTAAGAATCTCGAGCTCCCAAGTCGAGAATCAATGAATTGCACCAGGCGAAGGTATATATCGTCCAGATCCTTGACATTATTTGCAGGTGTTGCGCCCATGCCTGGAAGGTCGACGTAAATCCGGCGAAGGCCCGGTGTTTTGCTGAAAATCGGCTCAAAGTCCAGCTCCTCGACTCTTGCCTCCATCTTCCATCCATGAATGATCAAAACAGGAAGACCTTCGCCGATCTCATGTGCAGATAGATTAGATTCCATTTTGTCACTGTAGTGAATTTTTGTGGATATGTGAGGAGCAGGAACCAGAGTAGTTGATCACAGGGGTACAAATTATTTAATTATAATCACGCCATCTTATGGTGTTGACAAAGTGCTGCTTACTCCTCAACGTAACATGAAGCAACAGATGGAGAAGAGAAGTTGCCAAATTGTCAACAGTCGCCTAGTTTGCTCAGTTTGCATGAGTCATGACTAGTCATTCAGGCTTCTCATCCTCACGTACGTAGACCCTTGTATCTTTCGTATCGCATTCTATAGGTAGGTTATGACTGGATAATATTACCAAGTCCATAAAGAACTGGAATTTTCCCCAACCATATTGGATCTATCGGTTTGGAAGAGTATCTCGGCGTTTCCTGACATGGCACGCAATGGCAGTTTGATAAGATCTGTTTTCGGATGCATCTACACTACTGGGCGGTCCAAGGGCGAGATACAGGTCTGAGCTAAACGTAGGACTGCAAATCCGGCTACAGGAGTCGAGCAGGATCATCTACAGGCTACATCGGAGGTCATTTCATATCAAGTCGTAATTTCATCATATTCGAGATCACAGACAGAAAGGCTGCCTTCCGTCGACCACATCACAAAGTGTCAACAGTCAATGCGAGCCCTCTGCCCGATTCTACCTCGAATGTGTTCCCTCATATCTGATTTGGAAAGAGTTCCGGGCCTGCCCGGTCGAGCTTGGATAGCCAGTGACGGCAGCAAAGGCAGGAGGCTAGCGGATATGGAGTACACTTGCAGTAGCATCAAGGTCAGACCGGAAATGGTCAAAGCGATCGAGCAGACAACACCCAAGGACGATCATGACGCTTGCGCATGACATCGAATCTAGACATCGTCAATCTTCAACCGAACGGTAGACACCACCAGGCACAGCGTTCTCCACCATGCGCCTTGATATCTACCATCCACCACCGCCCGACCAACCGCCCGCTTCAGCATCTCCGTCAGTATTTTCATTGCTGACGGGGGCAGCGGTATCGGTATTCCAATCATCGCCCGCGCCATTTGCTTGGATGTCATTGTTGTCCGGACCGAAACTCTCACTGGCAGCCTGAGGGCAGCGCTTGATCGTGTGGCCCACTGTTACATTGGGTCAACATATAATCATACTTGCTGGGATCCCTTGGAAGATCACTTACTTTCACCACAATTGTTGCACTTGACCTTGGACCAGTCCTTCTTTTGGGGGCAGTCACGACTAAAGTGTCCGACTAGAATACCATTCGTTAGAATTTAGGTACGAATCATCTTCGCAAATGGCATGTTACCTTCGTCACAATTACGGCAAGTTACGGTTGACACATCCCGAGGTTTGTCACAATCTCTTGCCATGTGGTCCTCAGATCTACTACTGTTAGAATGTCGACGGTGACAACAGCTCCTTTCTCAGAGGCTTACCCGCAGTTGCGGCAGGTTCTAGGGGCAGGTGCCTGAGGACAATCCTTTGCAAAGTGGCCCACTGCAGTTCGTCAGTATATGCATGCGTGGTGGTCAGCGGTATCCCAAGCATAGCACTTACTCTCATTGCAGCGCTTGCATTCGACGCCCTCAGCGGAGCGCGGGTTGGGACAATCGGCTGCCTTATGCTCCGAGGATCTGTTCAAGTCAACGCAAGCCTCGGAAGATGAAGAGAGGAAGAACGACATACCCGCAGTTACGACAGGCAAACCTGTCAACACGAGGCTCGGTGCAGTCACGAGCACGATGCCCACTGGCGTTGCAATTGACACATTTGACTTCGACCCTCTCCACCAGAGCACGCTCTTCCTTGCAACCACGAGCAGTGTGACCCATTTCTGCGATTATTTAGCATTATTCCTAAGATCCCCGCCATCCACGCAGAGAAAGTTCCTGCTTACCACCGCAGTTATTGCACTTGGGAACTTGTCTATCGTAAGGGAAGCCAGCGTCCTCAAGGCGCTCAAGGTTCTCTTCAGGGTCGGCGGGCCAGCGTTCCTTGAGGTTCGTGCGCTGCGGCTTAGGGCTGAAGTAGAACGCAACGACGTACTTGCAGTTCAACTTGCCCTGGAGGTTGATCAAGCTGATGCTGTCGCCGACTGGTTTCTCCTGCCGCGATAGACACCATCAGTATCTCACAAGGACCGTACAACATCAGAAGCTTCCGAACAGACCATGGCAATAAGGTAAATGTTGAAATTCTCCTCACGCATTTTCTTCTCAATGTCCACAAAAGTGGCCTGAGGAACCGCCTTGGAATAGACCCTGAGGCCCTAGAGTGTTGTCAGCCACAAACCGTTGTGTTTCAATGCGTATAGGTCAATTTCATTGCCTACCTCACGGAAGTCCTCCAGATCTCTCTCGTCACTAGCCTTCTTGAGGGCAGCCCAGGCCTCCTCGGGAAGCTTGTCGGGGATATCGTTCAGATCGAATTTGCGATTCTCGGTGCACTCGATGGTCTTGTGGCCTGGCACATCCTTTTGTCAGCTACAGTTAATCTATCTGCGCATGGCTAGGGACATGCCTTCGGACTGGCAGTTCTTGCACACATCAGGGGGTCTATCAGGACACTCCGCAGCCGGGTGACCCTCCTTGCTGCAGATACGACAAGGACCCTTGAATACACGCGGCTTGGTGCACTCTGCCTTGGAGTGACTATACAGCATTAACATTGACAAATATTGACTTGTAGCCTAGAATTACTTACCCCTCCTCGCCGCAATTGAAGCAAGCCATACCCTTGCGAGGTTCGGGACATTCACGGGCAAAGTGGCCATCGCCTCCACAACTAGGCCCTGTCAGCAGCATAAACCTCGTAGAGCTTGCCAGGTGAGGAAGAAACATACTTGCGACACTTGCTGTCGTTGCCCTCTCCACCGGCACCGAAGGTAGGCTCGAACTGACCACCAGATTGATCACCGCCCCATTTGCTCTCGCCGAAGTCTCCAGCAGGGGTGGAGCTGATCGGGTTGACATTCTCGTCAGCGAAACCTGCTAAGCAAAATAAATGAGTATACACGTTTCCGCAGATGTTATCCTTGCCGGTACCGGCACCAGATGATGCGACTTCCCGCAACAGAGCAGGACCGCCAACACGTCCGCCACCGCTAGAAAGGAAGTATGAAGGCTTACGTACCAGCGCCGTTGTTGTCATTGTCATTCCAGCCGCTTGCTTCACCGGTATTCCAGGCATCTGCCTCGCCGGAGTTCCAGCCAGACATCTTGACTGTTGGTTCACGCTCGAAACTAAAAGAGAAGCAAGTTAGACGACGGCGTTGTCAAACTTTTTTGCTTCGCAACCAGGGATTTTGTGAGAATAATAAACAGATGTCTCGCTTTAGAGAGAAATGGAAAAGACAAATGCGCTGATGGAAACTTTTCTGAAGCACACCGAACGTGGTTTGAGGAAGCCGAGGGAGAAGTCTCCCGGGAGACTTGACTTGATCGAAGCATAGAGGAAAGACTTACCCCTACACGATTCTTTTTAGAGGAATCAAGAAACAAAAAGGAAACGAATTCACAAAGATGCAAATATGTAGAGAGGAGATGAATGGAGAGGGGTCAAGAATAGAGAAAGTGAGAGAGGAAGAAGAGTAGGTGAGCTCGAGGAGCAACAAACAAACGACAACAACAACACCTCAACCTTTGTTTGTTCCCTGAGAAATCTTTCACAGATGAGCAATATTCACAAGAAAAGCGTCAAGCTGTTGCCTGCCTGTGTTCTCAGGCCAACAACCGAACTATATGGATTCTGTGCAAACGCTGATGAATTTGCAGTCTTGTTTACATGGTTTGAATATCCGATTACCATAGTCTCCATTATATCATGTAGGCATTTGCGAGTAACCTCATGCTCTATGACTTTATTTCTTCTGTCTGCCTATATTTGTTTAACAGCGATTATATGGCACCAGCTACTGATAGGCTTAAGGTACCTTTCATGCCATACTAGTCCAGTATCGTGATTATACAATGGTACAATTCTGCCATGAGACAAGAGTAATTTCAGAAGTCATAAATCATCATATTAGAGCCCTAGTTATAGAGATAACTGGGCAAGTTCTCTCCCGAGTAACGGTAAGAACAACACCAAGATGGCGATGAATAAAAGTACACAAGGGTCATCAGTTCCTGCTCCAGAATCATCAGACCATCGACCAAACCCCTTTATCACGACCCTATGCAATGACCAAGCGGATGACCGAGTCGAATTGCGAGTAACGTGCCAGGCATCACTCAGACTTGATCATTGCCAGCCGCGAATGCTTCAGCCAAGACCTTGCATCTCTGCTTGATCTTCTTATTCTCTTCGGTAAGAGCGTTGAGGCGGGTGATATGCTCAAGGCAGTGTTCGCATTCGGTATTGGTGGCTCCATTGGCGAAATCGAGAGCACTCTGGTCCTTCTTCTCCCTCATCTCCTTCAGTTCAGCCTCAAGCTTCTTGACCTGATCGATTTGATATTTAATGTCGCCTTTGAGGAGTCCGTTGTGTAACTGGAGGTCTGCAATCTCCTGTTTCCATTCGGCTTCCTTCTCCTTCAGCTTCAGTACCTCCATCACAAGACGCTCATTTCTCTCGTCCAACTGCTCGTTACGGGCACGCTCTCTCGGGAAATCTCTCATGGCGATGGCTGCCTGCATAAGCAGGAGTGCACCGTGCTGCATGGGCGGGTATCCGTTGTTTCCAGATTCGGTGAAAGCAGTGGTAGCGGAAAAAGGGGGAGTGGGAGGACGAGGAGCCATTTCGTCTTCAGGTTTTGACAGCGAATGCTCCTTGGTAGTAGGTTGTTGATTCTGTGCAGAATGACGATTGGGCGCAGGAGATAAGCTTGGACGAGTTCCCTGCACCGGTGACTCGATTCCTGAGGTTGCGTCAGATTTGTTCGTGTCTGCTGCTTTCTCAAGAGAGAGAGAATCTGAAAGTGTTAAGTGAGTAGAGGCAGAAGCAGGTTTAATGGTAGTTTTGCTAGATTTTTTCGCGTTCTGCAGTGTGCGAGGGTCAGGGCTAGCGGGCGTTGTGCTAAATGGATCGCGTGCACCAGGTTGACCAGTGAATTGAAGCTTTGTAAGCTTGGATGGACGCTTCAGGCCAGAAGCCGAGCCCACGACAGTATCATTCAGCTGTTTGCGAGGTGTATTACGAAGCTGACGAGCTGTGGGAGAGCGACCAATGTCACCTCTAACGCCAATGTCGCCCCCGTCAGAGTCACTAGCCTCGCTAGGGTCAAAGTCTGGGTCATTGTCATTGTGTGCTGCGACACCACCAGCCTTGGTTTGCTTGCTGGTTTGTGTCTCGTTGTCTCCTTCGTGGTCCAGCAGACGTTTGTTCCCTTTACTGAGCTGAGCAGTGTTGGTCACTTTAGTCTGATTGTTCGCCTGATCAACACGAGGTATATTAGCATGAGATTTGACTATTGCAGGCGATATTACGAATGAGATGACATACCATCTCCTCAGTCGCTTTATTACCATTGTTCGCCTGGTCAGCATGAGGTACGTTAGCACCAAGCCCTGATCATTACACGAGATACTCCAGGAGATAACATACCTTTTCCCGAGCCTCTTTCTCACGTTCAATTTTCAGGTCCTATAAGTATTAGCAATGCATATATTGCTTTGTATCGTCCCAACTCACAGAGTACTGCTTGCAGAGAGCATTCCCACTGCGGCCTGGAAAAGCCTACAGAAAAGATCAGCTATGGGTGTTCAGATATATGAAGTATGGTCATGCTACCAGCTTGATTTGATCCCAAGGTAAGTTAGGATGCCTATCCCGGTAATTGAGGAGCCGAAGTTTCTCTGACTCTGACCAGCGAGTTCTAGGGATCTTTGTACCTCTCGGCATCGAGAAAAACAAGAAACTTGAGGAAACAAACAAGAAAAAGGGCAAAAAGATATAGTCTGAGAAAAGGCTGTCCAACCAAGCCTTTATAACAGGGGTTGTTATGGCTATGAGAGATACTCTCAGCACTGGCTGCGTTTGTCAGGGGCTCAGACTCTCAGACTCTCCGGACAAGACAAAAGAGACCAGGATAATCCGCTAGTGAGTCGATGTATCTTCTCTGAAAAGGTGCTGGTAACCACCAGAAACCAATTAGGATGATGAAGGACTGGCAAGGCTGAAACCAGATGAAAGGGTCAATGCCTGGACAGGTTGAGATCGTGTGAAAGAGTCCTGCTACGCCGAGACTGTGAAAAAATCTATCTACGCCGAGACTTTGAGTGCATCTAGCAGACGGTGAAGTATCATCTTAGGAGAACTGAATGGGCAGATTGTCTCTCTTCTATGCTTAACAAGGTCTACTGAATCATCGACTTGAAGTTGCCGATTATAAGCAACCCTATATGACAATAGGGAAGTGCCTACTTGAGCTGGTATTGCTCCTCAGGACAATATACATTGATGAGAACCATTAGAGAGAGCTCTATATTGACACATCACTGAAAAAGGAGGTATGTGAAAATCAAACCCAGAAATACTATTCACAGATTGTCTCTACTGACCAAACGATATTCGCATAGTTAGTTAGACTATATCAAGGCAGGACCAACAGCCATTGAAAAAGGAAAAAGCAAACAAGCAGCCGTTTACGCATCCCATCGTCTCGTTTGAGCTAGCTGCATAGCCCAGTGGGTTTGTTTATGTGGCACGAGGATGTTGAAAGACCTTCTATCGAAATTGCGGCACAGTCAACTTGCAATAGGGGTGAAAAGTTGTCTGATACTCTTTCGATCCTACCTTGCAATTGACATGGATTCATCCCAGGCAGACGTTAGTGTCAATGGCGCTTGGTTAGGATATGGTAGAATGCGATTTTCTCGGGATTTTTCGATTACTATTACTAGACTGACTGTGATAGAGAATCTAGCATGATCAGAGAGAGTCGTGTCTCGGGTTTGATAAGACAGTGTGTGAGATACTCCTAGTATATCAAATCTGTGTAATGCAACAATTAAGCCGGAGATATGGGAAATATTTCTGCTGCCCTAAACCCAACAGACCTGTGTAATTATTGCCACCTAACCTCAGCTGTCGGTACTAACATTTCTAGTCATAAAGTACCCTAGCTGACGAAAGCAGCTTAGTGTCTGTGTAAAGACAAATCGATCCACATACTTGGTCAACTGTATTATAACCAACCGTAACCTCATAATCACTTGATCCTGCTTGATTGAGTATCACATATATTTTTAGTATAAGACTGTGAATAGTCATACAACGCTCCAGCTATTCTCATCCTTAGGGATGACATCAAAGTAAGGATAACCTCGGGCTACTGTCCCTAAAAAAAATGTCGCAAGTCATACATGGCGTAGATTCGATTGCAGTTTACTTGAAAAGTCTGCCCAGCAGACCTCCAGCAAGGTTATTCACAATGTTGCCCCCAAACGCCCGACTAGCATACGTAGAAGCCTGGCTAAAGCGATCGCAACGGGAGAACGCAACCGTATTGGTGATGGTCAGCACCAACGCAATGGCTGAGACTGAATTAGCCTCTGAGGTCGTTACAACAATTGTTACCAGAAAGGAAAACTCACCGACTAGACTCAACCAAATAACACTGCTCAACCTCACGATTGCCAAAACGGCGAGTCCAATCCACAGCGCAGGTGTCACGTACAGACTGAGCCAGAAGAACCTCTTATCTGTGGCCGAGATGGTACGCGTGGTAGGGTCGGAGGATTCAAAGACCCAGTGAGAATCGCCGGTAGCGGTGTTAACTTCGTTCCACCAGCGTAGACCGACTAATCGACGTCCGGCGATGTTCTTCAGATAGTAAAAGTCCGCGGAGAGGAGGAGGAGAGTCAGGATGAAGACAAGGACGCTGTGGATCGAGTTAGCGGAAGAGAAGCTATGAAATGGATTGACCAGTAAACTCCCCAAGTCCTTGAGAGACTTACAAATTCTTGATGAATAAAACACCGAATAGATACATCAACAGCGCACTGGTGCGGAAGCCCAGGAAGAACAGAAGAGTGATCGGATGGGCGCTGAGACGCCAGTTCAACTCACCCTGCTGCGCCTGGAGAGGTTGGTCCATGATGCCGTACGAAGAGTCCTCAAACTCTTGCTCAACAGAAAGATGGCAAGCGCTATGGAGCTCTCTCGTTTTAAACGGAGATCAGCAATCCGCGTGATGTGTATACATGAAGCTGCGTGTCTCCTGCGTACGTAGACAAGGCGGTAGATGATGGCAGAATATGATCCACAGCGGAAAAGCAAAACAAACTGTCTGCATTGAGAAAAGGAAGCATGGAATTACGGAGTACATATCGTTTTTCCATTAGAGCTTGGCTTGCATGTTCATATGGATATAATTGGACATTGGATGACCAACGGATAAGGCAAAAATATAACTGCCAGCAGAATTTATGGCAAGTGATGTCGATTAAACGGCCCAATTAAGCTCAAGTCCCAGTCCAATGCTTAAGTCCGGGCTATCTTATCTCATACCGAGGGTATAGCACAGCAATATCCTTTCTATCCTGCCATGCTCTTCAGCTGGCAATAAATGTTTTGACGTCCTCGGAATTACTCAGCGCACATCATCTTGATCTAAATCATATATATATTCCAAACAGCAATGGCGTCGAGGAATACCCTCCGTCGCGCCCTGCTATACAGTACGTGAATCCACAGACAAGCTCTCCCCGCAGTCGACCATCCCGCCCTCTTGGCGCATACGAAACGACCTCGATCTGGGTAATACTCCTGGCTGACGACTAATTGATAGTTCCCGGATCGTCCCAGCGCTTCATTGACAAATCCCGCTCGTTGACGGCGGATTGCGTCGCCTATGACCTAGAAGACAGCGTGACTCCGCACAAGAAAGCGGAAGCTCGCTCGCTGGTGCGGAGAGCGCTCGACCAGCCCGCTCCCTCTGGCATCCGCGAACGCGCGGTGCGTATCAACTCAGTAGATAGCGGTCTCGCATTGGCAGATCTGACCGAAGTCGTATGTGACGCTTCAACTCCCCCGAAGTCAGAAATCCAGCTCACGAAAAGAAACAGCTGCAATCCCCCAACCTTAGCACCATCGTCATCCCCAAAGTCAATTCCGCCTCGGATCTCACTTTTGTCACTGATGTCATCTCCCACACGCTCTCGCAACAGGCACACTCGCAAGACGCAGCCGCACGGCCCCCTATCTCACTTCTGGCCCTGGTTGAGTCGGCTAAATCCCTGACGAATCTGACCCAGATTTGCGCTGCAACTCCACTTCTCCAAGGTCTGATTTTCGCGGCGGAGGATTTCGCCCTCGACCTCAGTCTTACCCGCACTCCATCTCTAACAGAATTCTTGTTTGCCCGATCGGCCATCGTGACTGCAGCCCGCGCTGCGAATCTGCCGTCTGCGATTGATCTGGTCTGTACAGCCTACAAGTCTACCAAGGGTGACGGGTCTCCACCGGCGGTGTTGGAGGAAGAATGTCGCGGAGGAAAGCAGTTGGGCTTCAACGGGAAGCAGTGTATTCATCCTTCGCAGGTAGAGACGGCGCAGCGTATTTTCGGTCCGGAGCCGGCCGAGGTGGAATGGGCTGTACGCGTGACGATAGCCGATGAGAAAGCAGCCAAGGCAGGCCGTGGAGCCTGGACTCTGGATGGAAAGATGATTGACATCCCCGTCGCAGAGAAAGCACGCGCGATTGTGAAGAAGGCGCAGGCTTGTGGATTTGATGTGGAGGAGTTGCAAGATAAGTGGCGGCATCAAGAGCCCGAATGAAAATGCATTTGTCGCGTGTCGCACCTGTTCTTGCCGTTACTTGCAGGCTTTCAGCGGGTTTACTAGGAAGTTTCATGACTGATCTGCAACAACTGATGACAGGATAACGTTAAGAGTGTTTGATAAATGTATCTAACCCGTATATACGTCGTAATTGAAGAAGTGCCATCGCGATCGAAGCGCGCTCCGGCCTGTCCATAGAGCAAGCAACAGTAAACTAGTAAGCACTCGGCGCTCTGCATGTGGCAGTGCGGGAGAGGAATTAATCTCACAATCATGGTCGCGTGCGATGAGAATATGGTGGCATATGGCATACTTTGCTCTCCCAATGATGGTGAGAAGACACTTTCCGTCAAGGTGCTGGGATTGCGAGGTCTTTCGAGTCATCTCCTGAGTGCAATAATGGACAACAGCGCATGGTATCCTGCCACGCGATTATGAACTCTTCGACTCCAGATCCTCGCGCTTCAACAGTTGAATCTTGCCCATTGTCATTACGGGTTGATTACCATTGCTGTCACCACCCTTCCCATCGTCACCTTCTTCTAGACTTTTGGCAAGAGACTTGTCATAGCTGGTGGGGTCGATGCCGAGGATGCCACCTACATATCCTCCCCTCTCCCCGGGCACACTAAACTCACGGTAGAGGTACTTCCACTCGTTGAGCCAAGCCTTGACAGCCTTTCCGATCTTGTCTTTGCCATTCTTCGAGTGATGACCCGTGCCTGTGATGGCGTAGATCACACGTCGTCCCTCACGAGCATGTTTCAGAAGGATCTTCTCTAAATATTCGATTGCCTCTTCAGGGTGCAGGCCATGAAGGTCGACGTAAAGTTCTTCGGACGACTCATCCAAACCGGCACTAAGAAGGTGCTTGTTCCGCTCTTCATACAATTGCCGTGCCGCTTCGCGATGGCACTTACGCATCGCTTCGTTTTCTGCTTGGCCTCGAAGAGACAAAGCTTTTGCGGCTCTAGCATCATTCCGGTTCCAAGCTTGAGCAGCGCTGAGAGATACGTTAGTCTGCGCAAACTTATCAGGGTTACCTCAGTCCTCTTACCTTTGAAGAAACTTGTTTCTCACTGTACCGTGGCGGATAGCCTCAGTACGGTATTTGATATACTGCTGGTTGGCTCGGGAGCCAGTCTCGAGCCAAGGAATGTTCTGCGGAGCTGGGATAGACTGCGCAGCAGCATTGTTTTCGCGGCCTTTGGTCCCTTCTCTGCTATTCTTGGACGTGGGTTTGCCTTTGCCCGGAGCAGGGGACGGAGACATACGGACCACATCCGCCAAAGATGTAGGCAAGTTCTCTTTGACGGAACCGGTTTCTCGGTTATTGCGTTTCCCGTGCTTCTTACTAGCATTCTTTGCGCTCACTGCAGCAAGCGTGGGGAATGCATCTGGATCATCTACGGAAAGCGCTGTAGGGTTCAATTCACGATGCTGGTGACGGCTCGTTGGACGGGAATGTGGACGAGACCCATGGCCGTTGCGTTTCCCTGGGGTGAGCTGCATTGCTTGTGGAGATTTGTTTCCCGCAAGACCTGATAGATGAGGATACTTGCCCAGATAGTGATTCGTCCATTGTTCCCCAGCTCCTCCTACAGACTGTAACGGAGGGAAAGCTTCTGAGGTGTTCTCTACGTTAAATGTTGGACCGCCCTGTTGGTTGCTCTCCCCCACACTGAGATTCGCAATTAGTGCTGAAGGGTCGTGGGAGAAAGGGCATCCATCGCCCGCAAGACAATTGCCCATGATCCAGTACCTTTTGAAGCACGTATCAGTGTGAAGCCCATCCAAGTATATGTTTCATTTACTTACTTGCAGACATGATTGGTAAGATCGTGGCTGAACCGACAATCTGCACGAAGGCATTGTCCGGTAGACAGCCAATATTTACAAACAACAGGGCTTCGGTTGTGATTCGGGGAGGTGCTTAATTTCGGTTGCTCCATGGTCATAGATTTGCCGACGACGACGCGACCATCATCCGACTGACTGAAACTGCCTCCACTCTGATCCTGTGAGAGAGATGCAATGGTCGCGCCGAGATCATAGCCATTTGCTTCCAACGCAGCCTCAATCTCTTCATTGGATCTTTTATCTCCAAGCACAGTGCGCAAGATATCGTGGGGGCTCATATCGGGAACAAATTCCGGGGCAGTGGCGCTGAGGGCACCGGAGGCGCTCATTGTCCCCACAGAGGAGGTGGTGCTCTGCGCATCGTCTGCAACAAGCCAATCCACATTGCTATCGTTGCCAAAGTCACTGTAAAAGTCCGATACTTGACTCTGGTCCGAGAATTCGTAAGCGTTAAGGTTCGGCGAATGCGGGATAGGTTGCGCAAGGGCTAATCTTGGCGATGGTCGCGGGGAGGTGAATGGTGATACGGTCGATGAAAGAGGTGCGCGAGAGAAGCCTCGTGAGCTTTGGAACCAAGATGAGCCGCCAGGGCTTGTGCCGAGGTTGGAAGGAGGGGATAAAGGTGTAGAGGAGCGTGCCATCTGCCATGGTGCTGGTGAGGTCCGGCGAATCACCGTATGACGAGGAGGGGGAGGAGAAGAGTCGGGTAATGTGCGATTGCGATGTCGCCAAAGGACGTCGAGCACCGCATTCTCCAGCGATGCTCCAGACAAAGATGTGTTCTCCCGCAGGAAACTCTCAACTTTCTCTGCCTGTTCTTCTTCATCAAGAGCTTTATCCTGAAGGATCTGAAGACAACTGTCAAGAAGGTCGTCGGATATCATCCTGAGTAGATGCTTCGATGAAGCGATAAACGACTAGGTATGAGCGAAAGAAGCGGAGCGAGGTAAGGCGACGCAGTGTTATGAAGATGAGGGGTAAATGTCGTCAAATTCTCGGACGGCGATAAGAGCGTATTCGAAACTTGAGATTGAGCAGCCTCTCAGAGATGAAAATCCATTGTTCTCCGAAGATGGGAAAGCGTTGCGAATCACAATCGGTTGGTTGTGGTGTCAGCTAAAGGAGGGGCGTAGACATGCGAAAGGGGGACAGATTGCGGAACACTGAATATGAATATCACATCGCTTCTGTCAAAGGAAAGAAGAACCCATCAAAGAAGATGAACGAGAGGGGCAAGAGAATTCAACTAAACAGCATAAAATGAGAGATCAACGCTTGCACAACAAAGGAAGAATATAAACGAGGATGAGAACAAAAAGAGGAGGGTGGACGAGAGAGATCGGGGAATCGTGGTCAACGGAGCTTAAGCTACTGGATGGAAGGCCGGGGACTCAGGCAGGGAATTGACAGCCATAACACTGAGGCGCTCAAGGTCTCAAGCTACTGGCTCCCAACAAGGAATCTAGGCATGCTGCTGTGCTACGTACAGGAGTCCTACTCTGACGAAGGAATCGCCTTTTCTCTCTTGCGATGGAGAAAACGTGATTTATTTTTCAGATTCTTTCCTAATCTTTACAAGATCAGCTCCAAAAGGTTCGAGACACTATCTTCACAGTTATTTAATGTTGTCCTTAACCACGAAATGAGGTTCGCGGATGTGGGGGAGGATCTGGAACCTCAGGCCCAAAGGCACCAAATTCCTTGGCTCGAGATAACAAAAGGATCGTCAATCAGCGGAGGAGCTGCAATACTTACGACATCTTGATATCCATTATTTCTGTCCGGGGCGCTCACAGCTGATGTACATCATTGACGATATGCTTGACAGGTTTGTAAACAGAGAGACATAGACATCACCTAAATGACAAAGTTCAGTCGCGCCTAAATCAGGTGAAAGTAAAACGATGGCTTAGTAACTCACCTGTACCGCGTAACTAGTCAACTAGCGATTAGATAGGCTTTGTGTACAGTCAGCAGCTGAACCCTCCAACTTCAAATGGCTAGGTTCAACATCACGGCGTCAGCCTAGAAATCATCTCACTATGACGGCTAATTTCAAGGGTTAATCAAATTGGGTAACAACATTACCCTAATATTCTTCGATTTCAACATCTGATGGGGGTTTCCTAACTTCAGCTCGATTCCTCTCTCGGCGCTCCCTGCTTCTCCGCTCATCGAGTATTCCGTGACCTATCTACCTATTTTCTGCACACTTTCGGCGCTCCCTTCCCTGACGGAGCTCCAAAAGGCTCCTATCTTTATGCGCAGTTGATCGCAATCTTGCGATTGGCATATTCCCGAGTGTTGGCTGGTGGCGTGTCCATGCTCCTACTCCTCTAAGCGCTGATCCTGTCATTGCCGATTCACGATCATCGAAAGTCAATCCGGATAAGATTCCACGCTCCTGAAGATGCCTGCAGACTATACGTCCACTGCTCGGGCTCTATCTCTTCCAATGTCGCCTGCAGAATCCCTGTCGCCGGCCGAAGAAGATACACAGCCATTATGGAGCCATCTGTCCTCCAGTAGACGCAATACGGCCAGTCCCTCTGCCAGGGAATCAACTGGTCTCCGTGATCAAGTCGTCAATCAAACCACGAAGATGCTGCGACGTACCAAAAAGACATGGCGGAGACTAACATTTTGGCAGAGAATTGGGGCTATTGGAGCAGCTTTGCTTGCCATCTTCCTAGGATTGGCATTCATGATCTTCACGGGACAAGTGTTCTTCTGGCTGGGGCCTGTAGCTGAAAAATGGGAACAGTCATGGCTTGCATTTTTCGTCCTCTGGCTGTGCGTTTTCTTCGTTTCTTTCCCACCATTGGTAGGTTGGTCCACGTTTGGAACGATAGCTGGTTTCATTTTTGGCATATGGAAAGGGTAGGCTGATTTATTTTTCTGCTTTATTTGATCGATTACTCTGAACCTAGACCTAACACATATCTTAGCTGGATCCTCTATGCCACTGCAACCGTGCTCGGATCAACATGTTCTTTCATCGTGTCGCGGACGATCCTATCGAAATTTGTGAACCGCATGATGGAACGGGACAAACGATTCGCTGCTCTCGCGTTGACACTCAAGTACGATGGACTTAAACTCTTGTGCATGATTCGCCTATGCCCCCTACCGTATTCTGTCTGCAATGGTGCCGTCTCGACCTTTCCGACGGTCCATCCTTTGATGTATGGACTTGCGACTGCTCTCATCACACCCAAGTTGCTTGTCCCGGCTTTCATTGGAAGTAGGATTCGGATTCTTTCCGAGAAAAACGAGGAGATGAGCGCCGGGTCCAAGGCTGTGAACATCTGTAGTATTATTCTTACCATTGGAATTGGTATCTTTACAGGCTGGTATATATACAGGAGGTAAGTTTCCCTGGGCATTGACACTGCCTTGACTCTCCCAGAGGCTAACAACTATGGTTATAGGACGTTGGCTCGAGCCAAAGAGTTGGAAGCCAAAGAGAGAGCAGATATACGGAGATCGTTACAAGCCGACCATGCTGCTCACCGTCCCCATGGTTCTTTCTCCGAAGACCCAGATGTCAACACTGCTGCCGCTACACTCGCTCGCGATGAGGAGGAAAGGATCGGGTTCAACGACTTTGATGATGACAACGTCGATCTTGTTATTGACGACGAGAGCGGCAGCGAGAATTCGCCAAATCTCACGAAAAAGCAGTTCCAGGGACCCTATAGGGACGAACTCACGGACAATGATTCAGACGTTTTCGGGGATGGCGATGGACCTGACAATCAGATGTTCCGTCTCCATACACACGTGCGATCGGGCTGAGACCTGTCACGCTGTCCAGGAGTCATATCTTCACGATGATATACCTGCCTTATGATGTACACACACTGTTATTAGTATAGACCTGCCAATTAAAGCCATGTCACGACGTCCTCTCGCGCGCGTAGTGCCGTTGCTGCATAAAGAGAGGACATCAGACACAGTTCAAGAGCTCAAGACGCTCAAATTTCGCTTGGTTCAGACGTAGCAGGTGAGCCTTTTCTAAGCCCTAGTTGTGCTCTAAACGGCACACGCAAGGTGAGAAGCGCCTATCAAATCACTGGTGTTACTAGCCTGGGGCTTGCAATGCTCTTTTATGTAAGGAAAAGACAAAAACAATGCTTGCATAAGTAACATTGCTAGTTCCAGACATGCATCTGATTAACAACCCCAGGAGGAAGACTGTGAAATGGCCATTCTGAGCCGATTGATGATGAGAAGAAGAGAGAGACTGTAGAATGCGGCTTTCCTCCTTCAGACTGAGAAATACGCTGGGTTCGCCCGAAGCTCCCGTCCAGCACCATCAAGTCTCCCTGCTAAAACTACATTTGCAGTGAGAACATCGAAGCATCGTGCACAGCCTTTGAATTACTATTACTCTCTGTTAAAGCACGTCCTAAAGCACGTCCTTCGATGAACTTGTTCGTCTCCATTCAATATCTTTGTAAACTAGATCGAAGGGCGTGCGTTCTGTGATGACCTAAGATCATACTTTTCTGTCGACCCGCAGTGTTGTACGATCTATCTCGCCTCAAGGTAAGATGAAACCGAGTACATATGTTCTTGCGATACGAAACATCTTTGTCTTTGTTTAGAACTCTGATGTGGATGAATCAGTCCGCTCTGACTATCTCCTAGGAAGTATCATACTTTGCACTATTCCAAGAACCCTTTCCCTCTGTTTCGGCGCCTTTAAGTGGACCCACCATGGATGGAAATCCTGACATCTAATATCGCCATATTCGTCTTGGAAAGGGAAGAGGAGCTTGTTTTCAACACCTAACAATATTCGGCTTTCATCTGAATTGGTGGAAGCCTATCTGGTTAATATCAAGTTTCAAGTGGTCCCGTCCAATGTCCATCAAACCCCTTGTTAGCGAGGATGGAGACTACCGCATCTATGGGACTGCAGGGTCTGAATGGGCTGTCGTACGATTTATCACAATTTGACCATTACTTATCTCAGGCAACTTCATACGTCAATGGTAACCAACACTTGCAGTATCCTTCGTTATTAAATGAAACAATACCTGGAACTGGTGACCAGTCAGAGCCTCCGGCGAAGCGGCTTCGCCGCTCTCCTTCGTGCAATGAATTGAATCAATCGAATGGCGAGACATCCAGTCCCGCCGCGATTATCGATCCATCAACAAGGCCTCAAGATGGCAATGGAGTTCTCGATAGAGTCGCTGGTGGATCTGAGAGCACTGATTCTGTGACACACGACTTAAATGAGGATACGAGTAATATACTTAGTGGCTCGGCTACCTCCGTGTCATTGATCTATGAACCCAGTCAGAAAGACTCAACTCCACCGTCAACTGTCAACAATGTGCCGTTCTCGTCTTCTATTTCGTCTGACTTCAAAGGGCTCAGTGGCAGTGCAGACTATGCCAGATATCGGCCAAGGTCGTCCATACCTTCTAAGCTCACAGCTGCCGTTTACGCTCAGCAGTGTGTTACCGCAGCGTATGCATGCAGACTCAATCCCTACTCTCTACACAAGAAGGAACAGGAAGCATTACAGGATCATCTGTGCCATCTGCATGTCACAGCTTATCTGAATATACGAAACGGGATCCTACGCCTCTGGACGCGAAACCCGATGGTCAGTGTCACAAAAGACGAGGCTCTAGGCTGTGCCAAAGACTACCGGTGGATGGGATTGGCTTCGTTTGCCTACGAATGGCTTGTACGGAATGGATACATCAACTTTGGTTGCGTTGAAATACCACCGGCTCTAGTTGCCCCTAGAAAAGGAAGACGCAAGGACGGCCCCGTCATTGTTGTAATTGGGGCTGGAATGGCAGGCCTGGGTTGCGCAAGACAATTGGAAGGGCTCTTCAAGCAATACCATGATACGTTGACATCACCGCGGGTTGTCGTATTGGAGGGAAGGCGGAGAATCGGAGGCCGTATATATTCTCACCCTCTACGGAGTCTTCAGTCGTCGAAATTGGCCCCAGGATTTTTGCCCAAGGCGGAAATGGGTGCGCAAATCATCGTCGGTTTCGAGCATGGAAATCCATTAGACCAGATAATTCGTGGGCAGTTGGCGCTACCCTATCACTTGTTACGTGATATATCGACTATCTACGATATTGACGGCTCGGCGGTCGATGAAGTTCAGGACGCCATGGATGAACGGCTGTATATTGATGTTCTTGACCGCTCCGGACTCTACCGTCACAACGCTGTTATTGTACCTACCGCCGAAGGAGACAGGGGATTGATAGGCTCTGGTCGCGACTTAACAATGAGCGACGGTCTCACCGTAAGACAATACGAAGAGGCACGGGCCGCAGGTACCGTTGAACTTTTGTTCCCCAATAAAAAGGTGCGACGAGGCGTGGGCCACAAAACAGCGGACATAAAAGCAACTGTGCCCCCTGCGCCGACCGATCTTGGTCCTACAGAAGAGCAGCCCGCAGCTCTTGCTTGTCAAGCCATGGGATGGAAGCTGAGGGATGGGGTCTCCCCAACAGCATCCCTGAACTTAGATCCTGTTGCCAAAGCGTCAGGGTCGCCGACTCTGGGCGCTGTAATGGACGAGGGGGTCAAACAATATCAACGCATGCTTCCTCTTACACCCAAGGATATGCGATTGATCAACTGGCATTTTGCAAACTTGGAATACGCGAACGCTACCAACATCGGCAAACTCAGTCTCTCTGGCTGGGACCAAGATTTGGGCAACGAATTCGAAGGCGAGCATTCACAGGTCATAGGCGGCTATCAACAGGTACCTTATGGCTTGTGGTCGTTGCCCACGAAACTCGACGTTCGAACGAACAAGATCGTGAGCAAGATCGCCTATGACTCGACGGGCTCGGGGAAGCGGAAAACAGTGGTTCATTGTGAAGACGGCGAATCGTTCGTTGCAGATAAAGTTGTCTTCACGGGGTCACTTGGTGTCTTGAAGCATGCCTCTATAGAATTCTCGCCGCCTCTTCCTGATTGGAAGCGTGGAGCTATAGAAAGGCTCGGTTTCGGGGTCATGAACAAAGTAATACTCGTATTCGAAGAACCCTTCTGGGATACCGAGAGAGACATGTTCGGACTGCTACGTGAGCCCAAGAATCGAGACAGCATGGTACAGGAGGACTATGCTGCCAATCGAGGCCGATTCTATCTCTTCTGGAACTGCATGAAAACAACAGGCCTCCCAGTTCTGATCGCCCTGATGGCTGGCGACGCAGCGCACCAGGCGGAGTGCACACCTGACGGGGAGATCATTGCAGAGGTGACGAGTCAGCTTCGGAATGTCTTCAAGCATGTTGCGGTACCTGATCCGTTAGAGACCATCATCACGCGGTGGGCAACTGACAGATTCACTCGTGGAAGCTACTCCTACGTAGCTGCGCAGGCACTACCGGGTGACTATGACCTGATGGCAAAGCCAATTGGCAACCTACACTTCGCAGGAGAGGCCACGTGCGGCACCCACCCGGCCACCGTCCACGGGGCCTATCTCTCCGGTCTGCGAGCTGCATCAGAGATTATAGAGTCCGTCCTCGGACCTATAGAGATCCCAAACCCGTTGGTTCCCGAAAAGGGCAAGACAATCGAACTGGGCACACCAGTAGCAACGGCGCAAAAGAAAAAGGAAGCACATTTCTCAAACGGGTTCTCCGCCCCCGTTTCCACATCCGCAGATCCCACCGACGCATCGGCGCCCGCACGATCAAACAACTCCTTCTCCGGCGACACCGCTCTGCGACAAGCCTACGAACAAGCCATGTGGACAGCCATCCACGCCGAGCTCGGCCCGCCTGAACCCCGACCGGCGCGAACAGGCCTCAACCCTTTTCTCCTCTACCAGAAGGACTACTGGGGTAAAGCCCGCGCGCAATGCGACGAAGCCAAACAAGCCACGACCAAGGACCCGAATGCCAAAGCCGCGCGCGACGAAATCCGCCAGGCGTTGGGCCTCATGTGGCGGCAGGCCAGCGAAGAGGAAAAACGGCCGTATATCGAACAGACGGAGGTCAACCGGCAGACTAACACGGAGATCTGGGATCGCTGGAAGCAGAATACGAAGGAGTGGGAACGGAAGTCGCTCGAGGTCAAGGAGCGGTGGTGCGCGGCCAATCCGTTCGAGTCGTGGCAGCCGCCGGCGAAGAGGTGATGCCTAGACTCACGTATGAGTTACAGTTTATCTTTTTATGTCAGGGAACATGGGTACGAAGGGGGCTGGCGCTGAAAATATGCTAAATATGATCTGGGTCTTCCTACTAATACTGAGACAAGCGTTTTAGCTATGTCACAACAGTATTCTCCTAGACTCCTGCAGACAGAATTGATACTAGTCCGCATTGCTCAAGCAGGATTTTGTGGATATCAAGTGCGGTCTTTCCCATTGCACACGATGTACCGAGATCTAAGTCTGAAGTCCAGCTTTGGGATTAAGTCTATGTCTATTCTATTTGTAGAAGTAGATTCCCAGAAACGATCTCATCTCAATCCGGAGTGAGTCCCTGTATATGGTGGGACAGAAAAAGAGTCATTAGGAAAGTTGCAATAAACGCTGAAAGTCTAATGGGAAGAGCCAACGCGTCCATGAGGATCATAGAAAGAGGATATATCAAGATGATATGTCGAGGCAGATGAACAGGGAGAGTGCACAAGGCGTGGCGAAGTGGCGTGGAGAAGGCGAGGAGGATAGTTAGATGCGATGATTCACTTAGAGAAGAGGGTTCGACTTGTATTCTGGAAGGGCGCCATTGGGGTCCTTCTTGACTTCACCGTTGACCTCCTGAGCGGCGGGCTGGACGGTGGAGTTATCGGCGGACTTCTGAGCGGATACGGCGACGGGCTCTTCCTCGGGGCCCTCGGCTTCAGCAATGAACTTTTCGGCCTCGAGAGCAGCAATGCAACCGGATCCTGATGAAGGCAGTTAGTATTACAATCAAGCAGAAACTCGGAATCGGTGGTCACAAACCTGCACTGGTGATAGCCTGGCGGTAACGCTTGTCCTGCACGTCACCACAAGCAAACACACCCTCGCGGCTGGTGTAGCTGGTGCCTGGCTTGGTGATGATGTATCCATCCTCGTCGAGGTCGATTTGACCCTTAACGAGGGCGGTGGCGGGGTCGTGACCAACAGCATAGAAGAGACCGTTGGCGTCGACAACCTCCTCCTCGCCGGTAACGGTGTTCTTGACTCTCAAGTGAGTCATCAGGCCGTTGGCCTTCTTCTCTCCCAGCACCTCGGTGGCAACGGTATTGAAACGGACGGTCACCTTGGGGTGAGCCAGCAGACGGTTGGCCATCGCCTTGCTGGCACGAAGTTTGTCACGACGGACGAGCACGGTGACGCTGCTGCCGTACTTGGCCAGGAACATGGCCTCTTCGGCAGCCGAGTCACCCCCACCAATCACGTACAGGGGCTTGTTGCGGAAAATGGGCACCGCACCGTCACAGACAGCGCAGGCGCTGATTCCATTCTGCCAGTAGGTCTCTTCGCCAGGCAAGTTGAGGCGACGAGCATTGGCACCGGTCGCGATGATGACGGCATCCGCAGTACAAGCGGGCTCGTTATCAGGGCCATCGTTCCATTCTGTCCATAGCTTGAAAGGTTTCGAGGACAGGTCGAGTCGGGAGATAGTCTCGGTGATCACCTCTGTGCCGAACCGGATGGACTGCTTGCGCATGTTCTCCATGAGCTCTGCGCCACCAATGCCATCGGGGAACCCGGGGAAGTTCTCGATGTCGGTGGTAGTGGTGAGCTGGCCGCCAGCGGCCGTTCCATTGGCCAGCATACCCTCATAGAGAACAGGCTTGAGTTCCGCTCTCGAAAGATAGATAGCTGCGGTGTGGGCAGCCGGGCCGGAGCCGATAACTATTAAAGGACAGCACGTCAGTAAAACGGCTACAACCGACAAAGCAGACAGTTGACATCGTTGGGTTGCAAGAGGGGTAGATACTTACTGACAACTTTTGTGTGCACCATTCTGGAAGCGGAGGTTGTATTGACGCGCAACGGCGTCGATAGCGAATTTGATAGAACCGAGGTAGGCGGGGAAGACTTTTGATGTAGTGTGGATGCAGCAGCGGCAGTCAGTCCAAGAGAGGATCGCAGAGAAGAGGAAATCCGACGAAAGGCGAAGGAAAACAGTTTGACGGTTTTTGTGAAAACTAAGGGGAAAAGAGTTTATCGGGGAGAAGGGGCAAAAAAGGGAGGTCTTAAGCCAACTCAAAATCAGGAATTGATCGGGGCTGAAGAAAGAGAACGAAGGATAAATGGCGAAAGGAAGAAGAGGGGCTCAAGTATCGAAATCTGGTCTGGTTCGGTATTAGTGATGGTGATTCTCATGCGGTTGGTTATGCAGTTCTTTTATGGTGGGGATGGAACAAAAAAGTGGATCGACGGATTTGATTGATAATAAATGATGTGATCCAAGCACGAACGGCGACGGATGAAATAGGTTAATAACAGAGGAACAACTTGCCTGAGAGAAGCTTTCGGTAATTCCTCGCAAGACACTTGTTGATAATCTCTCGGCGACCGAAATTCTGCCCAGCATGAGATCATCCAGAGCGTCGATTCTTAGGAATCAACCCCCGGCGAGACCAGGTCACGTGCCCATGCTTAGCAAGCGAACTGGCCGAGACCTTTTCTTTATTATCGCCATCACCATCCCGATTGCAGGAAGAATACTGCTGCAACCTACATGACTGGTTCATAGAACGGCTATCTGATAGCCGATTCCATTTTCTTGTCTCTGTTTTCTGTCTCACAAGGTCATTCGTGCACATACGAAGTACTGGGGCTGTTGCTGGCGGTTGCTATCTCGGCTTCTCGAAGCATCTGGATATCTGATCCAATCCACCTCATTACCTAAGCATGTCTTCATAAATGCATGGGCGATAACATGGAGCCTCGATTATCATCAAATGAAGACCTCCAAGACCTTGCGTGGGACAATCAATTATGTACAAAATAACAAGTTTAGGGAGCACATGTCAAGCGTGAAAAATTCATAAGGCATTCAATCGTCAAGAATCATGAAAGGTCATCGGAAGTTCATACCAATCGTCCAAACCACTTCTTCTTCCGCTTCATAGTCTCCTCCGGCCAATCATAGTCGGGCCCCGGTACTGATGCATGTGCTGGTGCATGACCCCTGTGGCCCATTTTCTCCGGCAGCCTCTCACCAGGCTCATCGAGATCACTTCCCGCATAGCCTTCTTCGTAGTCAGGGTCGTCATCGTAATCAGTATCCTCCACATCACCAGGGACATCCTTGGCGAAGCCACGCTCTTTCTTACGCCCTACAGCCAACCATTTCTTCCAACCTTTGGCAACCGGGTTGGCGGGGGGATCGTATTCAGCGCCTTCATAACGCAGCACGGGCACAAGAAGCTTATACGGCGTCGTGATACCTGATGGATCTTGTGGGTTGAGCTCCAGGTTGAGCGTGATAGCTAGACCCTTCTCCAGATTGACGTATGCGCCTACACCGTCGTCGCCCCTTTTCGCAGTTTTCTTGGCAGCCTTCTGGCTCAAACTCGTAGGGCGACGGTGGAAGGGGCCTGGGCGAAATTCTGGTGCAGGACCAGGGAAATAGCCGCCTTCGGCATCAGTGGGAGGAAATGGTCCGTCCATACTCGTACCGCGACCAGGTGCATCTCCAAGATTAAAATCTTTTGTCGGTGGGGGCCCACGCAGGGAGAGCCGTCGCAGTAAACCACCCTGAGGCCTATCACCTCGCCCTAAGGACAGAGTTCTCTGCAGTTTACCCGGACGCCGCTCCTCAGCCGGTGGAGGTCCACGCAGCGAGAGCTGTCGCAGCAAACCACCCTGAGGTCTGTCACCTCGTCCTAAGGACAGAGTCCTCTGCAGTATACCCGGACGCGGCTCCTCAGCCAGTGGAGGGCCCTCTTCGGATTCCGGTGTACCTGGAGGTGTGGAGCCTATCTTCAGTCAGAGAGACTGATATTTCGTGAAGAATGGAACATCGGCTCACCGGGTTGATACTCACGGATTGCGCACCAATTTCGGCGAGGAAGCAAGCGCTTGTTGTTACGCGGCTTGTTGTTGACGTCGTGTGTGAAGATGGGGATCATGTCTTCATCTGTGTTCGTGTCCAAGTGGTGAACGTGGTTGCGCTTGTTCAGCATATCCGATACCATTTCGGTTTCTGGCATGTCTGCAATCGCAGAAGATATGACATTCGGCATGTATCGGTAATCCTTGTCTTTGGGCAGGTTTAGTTTAGGATTGGAGTAGAATTGTCCGATGGCTGCCAGATGGACATCGCCGCTGAAGCGTCATGTTAGCTTCTGCCAACATTCACTGACCAGGAGTAGATTCTCACCTCAAGATAGTCACCCGAACCGACTTTTCTGCTGCAAGGTCTTGGAGGTCCTCAAGCAGATAGGTCCGTTCGGCTTTGTGGTGTTTAGCCGTCCAGTGATCGTCGAATATCTCTACTTTGCTGCCGTTCTTGTTTACGAAGCCTCCGAAAAGCCCAGCCTTCCCCAGCGATTTGCGACTATTGAGAATGTTTTTGAGCATTGCCTGTTTAAAATGTCAATAAACCCATATCACGGTGGGTCTACGGGGTACGAACCATTCTTGGATATGCGACGGGAACGCTCGAGAGCACTATCAGATGCTTGGTTTCTCCACGGACAATCTCACGGTGGCACCGGTCCCAGATCAAATCACACGTCTGCTCGCTGAGTATCTCGTCACTCTGAGAGATTGGTCAGCATCTACCCTTTTCCTGTCCGCCAGGAAAGCACATTTTTCTTACCAGTCGCTCCGTCCTGCAATCCAACCCCAGAAAAGCTACTTCCTTGCCCATAGACATGAACACGTTTCGACTTCGCTGGTTGATATAGGGTCCCAGCTGCGCACCAAGCAGCCAGCTAGGCTCATCTGCTTCCGTCTCTTCAGTCACGCTGTGATGCTGGAAGAGCAGATAGTACTTGAACGCTATTCTACCCAGTCCCGAAATCACCGGTGTAGCCATGAACTCGTCCGGATACGAACCGAAACCTTCAATGATGTCGTGATCGTTCCAGATATTGACCATTGGGATTTGGGAATTGGCCAGTGAGAAAAGGCCCTGGGAAAACCAAGCCGAGTAGTTCTCGAGGTAGAAGCTCTCTATCTCAGCTCGAAATTCTGGGTCAAATGGCATGTCGTACTTGTCAGTCAGGTTCTTTATCTTGGTCCATTCTTGAAATCGGGGCGATTCCACCATAACTTTGTCGTTGAAGATCTGGTCACCGCCCCCGATCATGACGTGGAAAGGGCGAGTCTGATGCTCATTCAATACGTCGCGCCAGAGAGGGTCAGGACCGCAGAATCTGTTGGAATCAACTCCTAGGCTGAAACCATTGCAGCTATGGAACATAATGTTCATAGACTGCCCTCTGGCCGGTACCCAGAATCCCAGGGCCGGTCCGTGGTTCAAGCGGTATGCGATTCGTTGTTGCGTCTCGCCTAGTTCTATTTCAATGTTGAACCTCCAGAATGTGACATCTCGAGCTGAGTCGGCGTACAAGCGTGCTCCGGGAATTTCTTTGTATGCTCCCACTGTTTCTCCGTCCACTGGGTGAAGCCTGTTGGCGGGAATCGACTGCTTGACGCCGTCACTGCTATAGTCCAGGTTACTGGGGGACATCTCGTAGATTCCATCGTCATTCTCCACGAATGACAAATCCATTCCTTCCTCGGTATGGTCGATTGGCTTGACATAAAGCGGCCTGCCGTCCCTACCCAGCTTCATGAGACCTGCGGTGGGATCGACGTACTCTGGTGCAAGCTGAGCGCCACTGACTTCGACAGGTGGAGGCGGTAGGAGATCCATCGGCTGAGAAAATAACCTCAGAGTGGGCGGTGGCTCATAGGAAGAGCGTGAATCTTTAGTGACGATCATAATACTACCTCTCCAAGTCTCCTTGTCGAAAGGGCCGTTTGGTCCGTCAATACTGACTCGTTTCAGTCCTGTGTAGCGGAGCAGAGGGCCGCATTTCAGGAAGATAGGTGGCTGGAAGCTCTTATTCTCTGCATGGTTCCCATGGTTAGTACACGAAATAGAGAAAAGAGAATACGGACCGGATAAATGAAGGAGTCCTCAAATACTGGTAGAACCACTGACCTGTCAACTTCTGAGCTGGCTTCTGATAAGCGCTCGGGAGAGCTCTGCTCTTCCTGCGATTACTGCCACCACCTTCCCACCAGGCTTTGCTTCGATCAACGTCGAGAAGTTGGAAGTCGAAGTCCGAGGCACCCAGTCGAGCAACCGGTGCGTTCTTCCATTCCAAAAGTGGAGGAGGCGTTGGCGGAGGCACATTGAACGAAACAGTATTTCTCTTGGGCTTTGTGTGTGGACCTAATTCGTCCTGGGAAAGATCGTGCAGTACAGCGGGATGTGTATTTGTGATTAGCTGTTCCGGTTGCTGGGAAGCTATGCCTCGTGCATAAGGGTGATTTCCTCCAAGCCCCATCTGGGGCGGTCGACTCTGTTGGACTCGAGCACCAGCATAGGGTTGCGGGTGTGCCATCTGTGCCACACTTGGCATTGCATGATCTTTGTGTGATGGCTCAGGTACCGCAGAGAAACGTCTCCCATCTCGAGACGGGTTAGGATCTCTCTTGGTGTTCAGGGCATGACCTCCGGGTCCGTTTGTCACCGACACAGATCTCCTGGGAACGCTACCGTGATTCAAAATTGGGCCCGCTAAGGGCTTTGAACTAATATTCGAGGCTTGCATCTCAGGAGCGACCGACAGGGCTGGTGGTCCTGGCTTTTGGGCGCTACACTTTGCCTGTCCTGGAACTCCCTGCTCACGGGGTATCGTCGCTTCGTGCCCCCGGTGAACAGCGTTCTGGCCAATGCTCTGTTTGGTCTTTTGGCTTCGATTATCCTGCTCTCCCTGGCTAACATCTCGCTGTGAGACCAATTGCTGAGGCATCCTACTTCCAATTGTGCCTGCAGTTGAGTTACCCTCTGCAGGCTGCGTGAGAGAGGCATTTCGATTCTCTGCTTCTATCTGTTGACGTGCCAACCTTTCTTTGAGCTTCATCTCGGCCTCCAAGACGCGCGCCCTTTTTTCCTCTTTGCTAATCCCATTCAATGTAACTTCGAGCTTCTGAAGAGGGGACCTATCTGGGGCGAAGTCATGCTGCTTATTCGTTGAAGACCGTAACGTGCTAGATCGACTCAGCGGCGGTATTTGGTTGACAGAGTCTACAGGTGACGTCGCTTTGCCGTCCTCCATCTGCCTCGCTGATCCCGAGGCAGCAGCTTCTGGGTTGATCGGACGCCTCGTAGGTGCTCCATTTCCTTTAATGGAAGGAGGGGTGGATGTGAGATAATCTTCCGGTGGGATCATGTTACCCTCTGGGCGATTCTGAGCTCGTGCAGAAAATGAACTGGAGACCTGTCTTCTCTGGGTTGCAGTAGAATTGCTGCGATAAGGATGCGACAGGCCATGGGAGACCTCTGGGAGATTTCTTAACATGTGCTTGTCATCGTGCAAATAGTCCCTAGTGACAGTTCTGATATTATCATCATGATGCTGAGCTTTGTTGGGAGGCATCTGTTGAGGCGACATTGAGTCTCTATCGATAGGTCTTCGATAGGCTGCTGTAGCCATTTTGCGACTCAGTTATAGGCAGGAGCAGGTCTTAAGAATTCGTACTCGAGAGCATGATAATCAAGTGCCTAAGCCTGAGTGACGATTGTCAGATTCGGCCCGAAGAGTTGTATAAGAGGGGTAGAACGAGTGCCAGTGCTACGAGAAATAAAGACATACCTCGAAAGTCAATTGCATGCGATTGACCTCTCACTTTAGGATTGTAATCGAGACCGAGAAAATGAATGTGTTGGCAATGATACTGTAGATAGGCGAATCAGTCAAGAATGAGGGAGTCTATGCTGGACCTGTACGCCTATTCGAAATTAAGTCTGAGCCCCGAGGCTGTGGAACGGCAGGACAAGTTCGGTGCTGGTCGTGATAATGAAGTATACAGATGTGGAGTATACAATGAAAACAATGGAGAATCTCAAGCACTTTACGGAAGGGAAAAAGAATGAAGGAAAAGAGGACAACGGGATGATCAGGTGAAAATGTGATATGGAGTAATGCACAATAATGATATTATCCCTCTTGCAAGTTCGATCGTGCAAGGCCAGGCAGGTATGGATTTAGATTAAACCTGGTGGCTGGCAACTTGATTTACTCGCCCAGCCCTCTTTCTTTTCTACTCCCTCGCCGCGCGGGGCTGTTAAACAGTTGGACTACGACCTGGACTTGGACCTGCAGCAGAATCAATCCTGCCAGGCACCACAGATCTTCTATTAAGGGATGTGTCTCCAATATTGTTGATCCTGGTTCGTGTCCGCAGCACTGCCTTATTTAAGAACGTGCTCAAGATATAGATAATGGGATTGGATAATCCGTATGCCACGCTGCTGTGACAGCTGCCCAATTCTATCCTAAGAATAACGATCCTGAGGCAGTCGGAGTATATACGTCAGCTCAATGATCCTAATTGAAGCTGAATATGCGCCAAAGAAAAAGGATAGTCGGTGCTCTACTACTGCTGCTACTAGGTTAGATTTGTGGTACCACAAATTTATAGAAGCACTCAAAGCATTCAAGCGTGAAGGTGGCATCGCCATATCCAGGGATTTTATGCAGCAGAGCGACAGTGGAGTTAAGGCTCTCGGACACTTAGTCTTTGACAAGGACCTAAGCAGTCAGAACGTGGTTGTTCGGACTGGTTAAGATTCGAATGAGCTGCCTATAGAGGTTTATGATAGGTGATGGCCCACCTTCAATATATTTAGAGATGTATCTATTAATCTGTGGAATTAGTAGTAAGCGGGTAGCTTTCTTTCATCTGAAATCAATAAGAATTAATACAATCTGTATTTTAGCCTTCCGATAATCATTTTGGTGGTCGCATAACCGTCTCTTTGTCTTCTCTTCCTTAGCGGTGAAAGCCCCTTACTGTCTAGGCTACGGAGTGTTATGGCCCCCAATAGTGAGGTAGATCAGTCTGAATAAGGTGACACTTTGTAGTTAAAATAGACTCGAACTCCGCAACTACTACTATGTTTTCTCAGTCATCGACTTTGACAAAGCTGGGGTTTTTATGAAGCAAGAACTGATATTCGAATTCTTCTTCTTCTTCTTATTATTAATATTATCGTTACTCTCCGAAGGTCCTCTCTCCGATACCTGAGCCTTCTGAGTGGATTTTGTCGACTTTCCGTTCATGGCAGCCAATTCGTTGTCCTTTATTCCGCCTCGCTGAGAGGACATTTTTCCTTTTGTTCAATAAGACGTCCTACGCATTCGAGATGCGATTTCTGGGGAGTATAGCTCTAGCCTTGAGCTTCATCTCTGCAACCTCTGCAAACGTCCAGCCTCGATCCTACGATACCCACGAGTTCTTCGCTCTCCACCTCGACGACTCCGCTTCGCCATCCCATGTCGCTCAGCTCCTGGGAGCTCGCCATGAAGGTCAAATCGGAGAACTGACAAACCATCACACATTCTCGATACCTCGGGAGAGCAGCTCAGACTTAGATGCGTTGCTGGAACGTGCACGTGCTGCGAGGAAGATTCGGCGGCGTTCGAGAGACGGTGCCACGTCGCAAGAGCAGGACAATGATGCACTGGGTGGGATCCTCTGGTCACAGAAGCTGGCGCCCAAGAAGCGTTTAGTGAAGCGAGTACCACCGTCCGAGAAGCCTGTGAGAGCGTTCCCGACCGGCAAAGAGGACCCCGTAGCTGCCCAGGCTCAGAAGCGAATCGCCTCTACGCTCGGGATTACGGATCCCATCTTTAATGGACAGTGGCACTTGTTTAATACTGTTCAGCTCGGTCATGATCTTAATGTTACTGGGGTATGGATGGAAGGTATAACTGGAAAAGGTGTCACTACGGCCGTGGTCGATGACGGATTGGATATGTACAGCAATGACCTTAAGCCGAACTACTTCCCCGAAGGCTCTTACGATTTCAACGACAACACCCCAGAACCTAGGCCACGACTCAGTGATGACAAGCATGGTACAAGATGCGCTGGTGAGATTGCAGCGGCGCGAAACGACGTTTGTGGAGTTGGCGTCGCATACGACAGCAGGGTTGCTGGAGTCCGGATTCTCTCCAAGGCTATCAACGACGCTGATGAGGCGACGGCCATCAACTTCGCCTATCAGCAAAACGATATTTTCTCGTGCTCTTGGGGTCCTCCCGATGATGGTGCGACTATGGAAGGTCCTGGCATTTTGATCAAGCGGGCCTTTGTCAATGGCGTCCAGAACGGTCGCGGCGGGAAGGGCTCGATATTCGTGTTTGCGGCTGGGAACGGTGCAAGCTTCGAGGATAATTGCAACTTCGACGGCTATACGAATAGCATCTACAGTATCACTGTGGGTGCTATTGATAGGGAAGGGAAACACCCTAGCTATTCCGAGTCATGCTCCGCACAGTTAGTGGTCGCTTACAGTAGTGGCTCGGGCGACGCAATCCACACCACTGACGTGGGAACTGACAAATGTTACTCTTTCCATGGTGGAACATCGGCGGCAGGACCTTTGGCCGCGGGGACGGTAGCACTGGCTCTCAGCGCTCGTCCGGAACTAACATGGCGCGATGCCCAATATCTCATGGTGGAAACAGCCGTCCCGATTCATGAAGACGACGGTAGCTGGCAGGTCACCAAGGCTGGAAGGAAGTTCAGTCATGACTGGGGCTATGGCAAAGTCGATGCGTACGCCCTGGTTCAGAAGGCCAAGACCTGGGAGCTAGTGAAGCCGCAAGCCTGGTTCCACTCCCCTTGGCTCCGTGTACAGCACGAAGTCCCTCAAGGCGACCAGGGTCTAGCCAGTTCGTACGAGGTGACTGGGCAGATGATGAAGAACGCGAACATTGCGAGGTTGGAGCATGTTACTGTGACCATGAATGTCAATCATACACGCCGTGGTGATCTTAGCGTTGAGCTACGCAGTCCAGAAGGCATTGTCAGCCATCTGAGCACCACAAGAAAGTCGGATAATGAAAAAGCGGGCTATGTGGACTGGACTTTCATGACTGTTGCTCATTGGTAAGGCGCCTTTCCCCTACAGTTGGCGATTCCAGATTTCTAACCACTTTTTCTTCCCTGCAGGGGTGAGTCGGGCGTGGGAAGATGGACTGTAATTGTCAAAGATACCATTGTGAATGAGTTCACTGGAGAGTTCATTGATTGGCGACTGAATCTCTGGGGAGAGGCTATCGACGGCGCCAACCAAAAGCCTCATCCCTTTCCCGATGAGCATGACGATGATCACAGCATCGAGGATGCTATTGTGGCTACCACCAGCGTGGAAACAGGACCTACCAAGACGGGTGCCCCCGACTCCACGGACGACACCATCAATCGTCCTGTGAACGCAAAGCCCATCGAAACTCAGACACCGTCACCCGCCGAAACGACCGCAACCGAACTAGCTCCACCCGCCGAGACCAGGCCGGCCGCCACGGCCACATCTTCTCCCACACCTACTACTGCGTCGGACAGCTTCTTGCCCAGCTTCATGCCCACATTCGGGGCTTCCAAGAGGACGCAGATCTGGATCTATGCCGCCATCGGCTCCATTATTGTGTTCTGTATTGGTCTGGGAGTCTACTTCCAGGTCCAGCGACGCAAGCGCATTCTCAATAACCCCCGTGACGACTATGATTTCGAAATGATCGAGGACGAGGACGCGCTCCACGGTGGCAACGGGCGTTCGGGTCGCACTCAGCGCCGAGGTGGCGAGCTGTACAATGCCTTTGCAGGAGAAAGCGATGAGGAGGAGCCTTTGTTCAGCGACGAGGATGATGAGCCTTACAGAGACAGGGCTCTAAGTGAGGATCGTCTCCGCGACAACTCAAGCGATGACCGTAGTCTGAGACACGGTGACCACTGATGCATTTATCCTTTTGTTTACTGTGGAAAATCCCTTTTTGATTTTTTCTGTTTCCGTACTATTAGGCGTTTCGATGCATCTCCAATGCGATTCAGCCTGGTGCCGAAGAAAGATCTGTATATAATCATCTTCTGAAGAACAATAAGTCAGTCATGAACATAATTTGGAGATAAATACATGGCCAGCAGTAATTATAAGATTGACGGTAGTTTTGGCAGATGGAGCCGTAATCATGGATAAACTCGACGGCTGGATGGTTGGATGTTCCTCCAGCCTTGGCCGATGACGCCGTGGTTCTCCAGCTCCCCGGCTGCTCCACCAAGCTGGTTGATGGCTCCTCCGCAACTCTCCATCATCAGCTACCACCAACCAGCACCCGATAGGATATATTCCATATTTCTCGTTTGTCATCCGTCTCTGGATACCGATAATTTCTCAGCTCTGTGTTCATCGGATCCATCAAACAGTGTCAGTGCAACAACGCCGAAAGCCAAGACACCGCCGGACGGCAGCCCCTCGATGGATCAGCACGACGACTTTGATAGCGTCTCGTGGAGACAGGACCCGGAGAGCGACATCTCTCGACCCACCACATCAGGGACAGATGCGGATGAGCCGCAAGGATACAATCATGATACCAATGGCAAGCGGAGGATGAGCTCAGTTCACGAAGACCCGCCTCAGGCCGGGCCGCTGGCGGACGCCGTGGACCTGGCGGGTATCGGGGATGGGGTACTGGAATGTCGAGTCGATTCCCCTTTGAAAGAGAACGATGGAACTAAGGATGCGTACATTTCGTATCTCGTCACTACACATGTGGGTTACTTTTTCCTGATCAGTGGGCCTGTGCCCATTTGCCGGCTGCCTGGCTGGAGATGCATGCGAACGGGGTATTGACAAGACGATAATATGCAGACCGATTTCAAGTCCTTTCAGAAACCAGACTTTGCTGTGCGGAGGCGATTTACCGATTTCTATTTTCTGTACAGGACTCTTTACCGGGAATATCCTGCCTGCGCGGTCCCGCCGCTCCCAGAGAAGCATAAGATGGAGTACGTGACGGGAGATCGGTTCGGGCCGGAGTTCACCACTCGTCGCGCTTGGTCATTACATCGATTCTTGAAGCGCCTGGCATTGCACCCTGTCCTTCGTCGAGCTCCGTTGCTCGCTATTTTCCTCGAATCGCCAGACTGGAATGCGCACATGCGGCTGCACTCTACCCGCACCTCGACGGGTAACTCGGATGGTAGCGGCACGGGGATATTCGACAACTTCACGGACACATTTGTCAATGCATTCACAAAGGTTCACAAGCCAGACCGTCGATTCATCGAGGTCAAGGAGAAGGCCGACAAGCTAGATGAGGATCTCAACCACGTTGAGAAGATCGTTGCCCGAGTAGCGCGCCGGGAGAGTGATCTCGAGGCAGACTATAACGATCTTGCGACCCAATTCCGGAAGCTTGTGCCCCTCGAGCCGGATGTCGAGGTCCCACTACAGATCTTCGCGGCATCGGTGGAGGAGACGGCGCGGGGCTTCAAGACGCTCAAAGACCATACGGATCAGAACTATCTGGGCTCTCTACGGGATATGGAAGCATACATTGTCTCCGTCAAAGCCCTCCTCAAGACTCGCGAGCAGAAACAACTTGACTTTGAAGCGCTGGTCGATTATCGCAACAAAGCGGTGGCTGAGCGGGACTCGCTTGCCGCCAACCCATCTTCCTACTACGCCTCTAACCCTCTAACTTCATCGCCTGCCTCATTCATCCGCTCGAAGATGGAAGACATGCGCGGGGTCGACCACGAACAGTCGCGTCGGGAGCGTGTCCGGAAGCTGGAGCTACGCATCGACGAGCTCACTCGGGAGGTGGAGTCGGCCAAGACCACATCAGAGATGTTCGATGAGGAAGTTGTCCGCGAAGTAGCCGACTTTGAACGGATAAAGGCGGTTGAGTTTCGAGATACGCTGGGGGCTCTTGCTGAAAAGCACATCGACTTTTTCCAGGGCGTGATAAACACTTGGGAAAGATTCGTTGCTGAAATGGAAGGCGACCTTGATAACGATCCGGAAACGTCGGAACATGGTCGCGGGGAGGGAGTGGCAGCGTAGAGCAAAGGGGGAACTGCGAAAGTACTGGACAGGTCTTTCATTACTTTGTTTACTTCGTTACTTTACAAGGCAGCGATTTGTGTTACTTGGTAAACACCGGGGGGGCGTGTTTTCTTCTCTAATCAATGACAGCTCTTGCGGCGGTATAGTTTGGTAGTTATCATTCAGTCCCATGCCGTACCCTCAATCAATACATATACATCCAGGTCAAGTCTGCACGCTGGGTAAAAGAACTCTGAATATCTTGAGGCCTAATACACACCCATCTACCAGTCTCGCTTCGATTGAACCTCCGCGCATTCAAAGTCAATCGGACTCGGATCGCCCTGAGGTTCTAAAATAGCTGGATCCAACGCCCTCGTCGTGCGTCTTCGGGCTCGCTCCTGCACCAATCTCAGTCGCATTGCTCCTTCTCCGGTAGGGACCACACACCTCTCGGTATACCTGGTTCGGCGTCTTCTCTTTCGCTTTCTCCCCCGCCGTCAACTGAAGGTAGATCTCATGGTCGTATCCCACGGCATTGGAGTTCCCCGCATGGGACTTGGAATGCGCGCCTGCGAAGTTGGCGCTGAGATGGAGGGTTGACGCTGTTGAGGCTTTGAGCGTAGTGCTGGATTTGGAGGTCGATGTTGATGTTGATGCCATTTGTTGGCGGTAGAGGTGTAGTGTATAGTGTCACTACCTCTACTGGTGATGCTGGTCTTAAGGCCAACTAGCTTGATAGAATAATAAAAAGATGCTAGGAGCAAAGAAGCGAATCAACAGGCATAATTGAGTTAGTCAATTGAGGCCTTTAGTTTAATGAAGATCATCTGCCAGTTACAGTAGTCGTTCACGAGATATCAGTGTAATATACCTCTGGCGATGGACCTCATCTCAGCCACTTCCTACGAAGTACGCTTCGGTCAACAGGGGAATTGGTATTACAGTGCATTCGCAATGTGTATCAGACATCTCGGTGGCAATGGGGACAGCGTTTCAGTGCTTATTGTGTCCACACTCTGCATGATCATTCACTGCAGTAGGATCCGCATGAAGGAAGTTGTACGGGTTAGTCCGAAAGCAGACCCGTCGTGGTGGCGGAGTTGCAGTCTGCCGCAGCACCGCATTGTGCATTGTGTGTGGCAGTGAATTGATGAAGAAATGATAGGACAGTTAGAGATCATGTCTGGTTATAGTGATGCTTATTCGTTGGGGGCTTGTCCCTCGGTGTCGACTAAGGTGATCTCCGTGGGGGGCTGTAGTCTCGGATATCCCGATTGAGCATCCAGCATTGCACAGGATATGACTGTGAGAGCATTGTTTGCTGTTGATGCAGCTATGTGCCAGAGCTATACCTCTCTATTAGTTACCGTTTTGGTCCTGACGAATTTGATGGCATGATGCTCATCAATCATCATCGTCTTTTGCTAATAATACCATAGCGAAAAGTGTTTGCTGCGTTTGCATCTCCATCGACCGGCTCAGCGCATCGCCGAAACGAGATGATCTGATGATCGACTTTCAAACTGTACTACGTACGCTTCAGCTCACTATGCGCCCTCTTTCTCGGTCGGCCCTTCGACCCTACATCTGTCCCTCCTGTCGTTCGGGGGCAGTTACACGCAGGAGATTCGCGACTCAACCCTCCTCTGTACCCGAGATCTATGATGTAGTTTGTGTCGGAGGTGGTCCTGCGGGCCTGGGGTTGTTGGCCGCTCTCAGTATGGCATCCTTCTTCGCATCGATTCGCGCAATTGAGATGATGCTCGGTAATTTGGCCTTACTAACCGCATACAGGAGCTTCTCCAGCAACTTCAAAACTCAAGATCGCTCTTATTGAGTCCCAGGATCTGAGCAAAGCCCGCTCGTGGAAGCTCGAACCGCACCAGTTCTCCAACCGAGTCAGCAGTCTGACACCGTCATCTGTGTCGTTCCTCCAAAGAATTGGTGCGTGGGATCATGTCGACGCGAGTCGTGCCCAGGAGTACCAGGAGATGCAGGTATGGGACGGAGAGACAGGATCGCGCATATCATTCGACTGGTCCATGGAAACATCTCCCTTTGAGAATCTCCCCATTGTAGCGACGATGACGGAGAATGCGAATCTCGTCCGCGGACTGCTATCACGTATTGAAGCATCTGGCGCAGAGAACCTATCGATCTTCTCAAATACCACGGTCTCGTCGATAGAGAATGGCGTTGACTACTCCAGTGGACCTAATCTGTCGGCGTGGCCGGTTCTGTCACTCTCTCCTACGGGCCCCGCGGGACAATCCCAGACGCCTTCGCGCATCGCTGCCAAACTCTTGGTTGGTGCCGACGGTATCAACAGCCCCGTTCGTCGGTGGGCCGGCATCACGACGGATGGCTGGGACTACGATAGGCATGGTGTAGTAGCCACCCTATCCCTGTCGGATCCCGTTTCGCCTACATTTCCCATCGGCACCAACACCGCCTACCAGCGTTTCCTGCCGTCGCTAGGTGGTCCCATTGCTCTGCTTCCTCTTCCCAACAACACCGCAACTCTAGTGTGGTCCACCACCGTCGAAAATGCAGCCTACCTCAAGTCTCTCTCGCCTAGAGCCTTCATCGCCATGGTCAACGCTGCCTTCCGTCTTTCCATGGCCGACCTCAAGTACATGATAAACATGGAACGTCCAGCAAATCCGATTGCAGATGCTGAGAATCCCCACGAAGACGAACTCACTTGGCGCCTGCAGCATACCCCTCAGTCATTCCACATCCCGCCTATGGTCAACGGAGTTCAAGAAGGCAGCGTGGCCTCCTTCCCGCTGCGCTTTCGCCACGCATCAACCTACATCTCGCCCCGAGTAGCTCTGGTCGGCGATGCGGCCCACGTCATCCACCCACTGGCCGGACAGGGTCTCAACCTCGGTCTCGGGGACGTGGCTTCCCTCTCCAAGACGATCGAGTACGCCGTCAACCACGGGATGGATGTCGGTGATATCCTAACTCTGGAACGGTATACATCAGAGCGATACGCCACCAACGCCAAGATCGGCGCTGCTTGCGATGTCCTGCACAAGCTGTATAATGTTCCCGGCCAAGGGCCGGTTACATGGGCTCGGAGTTTCGGTCTCGATGTCATTGATCGCTTACCGTTTGTCAAGAATTTCTTGATGAAAAATGCTCAGGGCTGAGGAATACCTAGGCCTCGACGGCACCACACCTCTCTCACTTCCATCATCCATCACTATTCGTCTGTATGATAGCTTTTGACAGAGGCAGAATACTTTAGCTTACGATACTCCAATGTACACTATAAGGGTGGGAACCCAAGTAACCGGAATAAAAAGAAATGGAATGTTAATAAACCTTTTGCATGTCATGCTCCAAAGTCGACTGCAATCTAAACTGGGTATTTTGGATCTTGCAGGTACTTCTTGGTCCTGCTTCTCGTTTTCTACATGTCCCCTTTTTATGTGAATAGCCTGCTATATGCGACGTATCCCCTCTTAGACCCCCGCATCCTCGGTCTTGGGAGCTTCAACCTTGACTGCTTCGAGCTGTTGCGTTACTCCCGAAATATCTGCCTTCGCTGACGTCTGGCTCTGTTTCTTGGCCAGTCTGGCTTTGACTTCGTCGGTGAGGGCGGCCAGGTCGACCAGGACACCCTCCTTCTCGGGGTGGCCTTCCTCGAGACCCAGTTCCTTAATACGAACCTGGCCGGCGGCGAGTTCGTCCTCGCCCAGGATGACGGCGAAGGGGACGCCTCCCTGTTCGGCGGCCTTGAATTGTTGGGGGAGCTTGGGCTTGATCTTGTAGGAGAATTCAGCCTGCAGGGGAACGGTCAGTTATCTTTCTGCTTGTATTATGTAGAGACGATCGCGGGGAGGCTTACCTTGATCCCGGCGTTCCAGAGTTTCTGGCATACATCCATACGCTCCTTGAGCATACCGGTGAAGCCCTTTCCACCAAAGGCCATGACAAAGACATCGACTTCGCTGCTGCGCAGTGCCTCGGCGCTCTTTTCCCGCTCGAGTCTGGCCTTGGTGATGGAGAAGATACGGTCGACTCCGAATGAGACACCAACACAAGGAATCTGAGCCTTGGGTAAGAACATGCCAACCAGATTGTCGTAGCGGCCACCCGCGGCAACGCTGCCAACACCTAGTGTGGGGTCGTTTGATCTGTCCTCATCTTCGAGGTTCCCGCTCTTGGATTTGTCTTTCTTTCCGGACTTTTGGAGCTTCTGTGCTTCGGGGGCTGAGGACGAGACGGCAGGCGCAGAACCTTCGGTAACAACCTCGTAAATGACACCGGTGTAGTAGTCAAGTCCTCGCGCCAGAGACATGTCAAAGGAAATTTTGTCGAGACATCCGAAGGCTTCAAGGTAGTCCATGAGCAATCCCATCTCCTCCAGACCAGCCTTGGCCGACGCGTTCGCAGTTAAAGACTCGTCCTTCCATAGAGATTCAAGTAGATCCCGAGCGCCCTTGCCAGCCACGTACTTCTCAATTCTGTCGGCCACCTCACCATCCAGTCCCTTCTCCTCGACCATTTCCTTCCGCACATCGGCCCAGGGCATTTTATCCAGCTTATCAACGGCGCTGGAGATAGGACGGATCTTCTCGGGCGGCACTCCGCAGACCTCGAAGACACCGTCCAGGATCTTCCGGTGGTTGACCTTGATAGTATAACGACCCTGCCATCCAAGTTCCTCAAACACTTCTGTCACAATCCGCAGAATCTCCGCATCGGGAACCATAGGATCAAAAGCACCGGCAATATCAAAATCACATTGGTAGAACTCGCGCATACGGCCCTTGCTCACAGCAGGCTGATCACGGCGATACACCTTGGCAATGTGGTAGCGCTTGATGCTGCGCACGTCGGGGTTCATGGCGAGCCAGCGGGCAAAGGGGACGGTCAGATCGTAGCGAAGAGAGCAGATCTCGCCACCCTGATCCTGAAGGTCGTAGATAAGCTTCGAATCCTCGCCATATTTTCCGGCCAGGATCTCACGCAGCTCGAAGACGGGTGTGTCGAGCGCCGTGCCGCCGTGACGCTTGAAGACATCGGCAATGGTCGAGAAGATCCGGTCGCGGAGAAGTGCGTCGGACCCGGACCAGTCCTTTGTGCCCTTAGGCGTCTTGAGGTTGAAGGAATTCTTGTTATCCTTTGGCATCGTGTCTATCGGGCGCGAAGATCTGAGGGTGAGGGAAGAAGAGTGGCGGTAGTGGGGGATGGTGGGGTCGCTGGAGGAGAGAGTGAGGGTTGTTGGGCGGACGGCCGCTGCGCTGGGAAGGGCCCGACGGACAGGTACAACGACAATGGGATCAACAATTGCTTGTCGTGCAGAGCGCAAAAAGCCGGCTTGAAATGTGAGCTTCATCCAAGGGATTGGAATGGTGAAGCAGAGCCGGCTGGTAGTCAATAAATCGATGACTCTCTATATATCTCTGGCCAATCTGATGATCTGATGTTGTTTCTGACTCACTTCCTTACTTTTTCTGAAGAGTTTCTCGAAGCAGCAAGTTTCTCCGTGTCCGGTTCTCAAAACAGAGATTCAGGGCTTCCGCTTAGGGCAAGTCACGTGTGGCTCTTTCACTCCGATTTATCTCTGGAGAGGGAACACTGTGCTCTGCTATGGTTCTATGAAAGAGCTTATCCAGGACAAGGCTGAGTGACGAGGAAAGCAT